AAAATATATTTTTAAAAAACAGCTATTTTAAATTGTAATGATATTTCACAATAGTACTATGTACTGCACTTTTGATCAAATAAATGCAGCATGCAGAGACTTCTTACCAAAAAACAAAAAAAAAACAAAAACAAAACTCAACCCCAAACTTGGATTGTAGTGCACTTACCATGTATTGGTATGAGAAATGTGTGTGCAAAGTTACTGAACCATAACCAGTGTAGATCATAAAATTAAATTTCATACAACATGTCAAGAGTGTTACCTCCACAATAAACCATATAAACCTCTAATAAGAGCACATATCGAAGTAATAATATCACTGCTTTAATACCTTGAATAGTCAAATAATGGCATGAATAATTTTCATATAAAGGAAATGTTTAATTCATTTTAAGTAATTATGATGCAGGCAGGGCTGCATTAAGACCTTACTGGGCCCCGGGGCTATGACTGACTCCAGGGCCCCCTGTTACAAATATAATATACAACATTTTATTTCCTGAACTGCAACTTTCTTTACCACGCTATTCAGTGCCAATCCTGCTTAAAATGCTTTTAAATGAAAAGCTTAACCTACATCATGCCGCTCAAAACAATTGATATACCGATTTATCTCTCAACCCATAAGCGAATATACTTTGTTCAAACACAAAAAGCAATATACATCCATCAAGTTAACCTAAACTAACCTAAAATCTGTGGGGACGATGACGCTGTGATTTTTATCTGCTCCATGTGCCCGGTCCACTTGCTGTTCCAACAACTTCCACTCCATCATCAGCTTTAGTAAAATAACCTGATAGCTGGGGATTTTTACTGACTAATTCATGTTTTCCCATCTGTCCTCATTTTTTTTTTAGAATAGCCCCTCTCTCACTTTCTTTTTAGAAGAGTTTACATTTTTACTTATCGAAGATTGTTCTTTGCATGACCATTTCCAGATTATGCCAGAACGAAGTGAAGAGAGGTGAATGCGGACATTGCAGCGATCACCTGATTGATACGTGGTGCAGGGGTCGTTCAAAAGTAAAAATATAGAATAAATGCATTTGATTGGTAAACCAAATTCAAACGTGACGTTTTAATCTAAAGGTAGTGCATGGAATATATGGAAAAGCTTCACTAAATAATACCGCTAACAAGTGAGGGGCGGGGCTTTGGCAATCGGCGCTACCGATGACCAGTCAATCTACTCCACAGCCAATCACGGGCCCCCTCCTTGTCCGGGCCCCGGGGCTTCAGCCCCGCCTAGCCTAATGGTTAATGCAGCCCTGGATGCAGGCGTGTTCTAATTATTTAAAATGAACTGTATGCTTTAATTAATTATATAAAGATAAATATTAACCTTCAACTAGATATCCTAATGAAATCATATTCAAAACACATTAAGTCTTTCAGTTTAGTCATAAATGTTTTAATTAATAAAATCAAACTTGTGTGACTGCACAGAAAGACTGATAACAAATTTCATTCATGTTTTTAACTTTTAACCAACAAATTAGAGATAAAACTAAAAACTGAATCTTTTTATTTTCTTTTGTGAAGATTATTTAAAGAAGAAATTTAAGAGGGGGGTGAAAAATATTAATGTAATACTAATTATGTTTTTTGTCAACAATGAAGACGCAATGAAAAAAGATTTTTAATTAAACCATTTAAATTAAATTACTCTGTTAACAAAATTTGTACAATTATCATAATTTTGTCAAAATAACAATTTTGATAAATGATATGCAATCACAAGACAAAATGGACCAGAATAAACATCTACCACAACTGAACATACTATAATCTAAAACTTGAAGTTAAGACAGTGGAAAAAGATTAATATATATCAGTCAGAAGGACTGCATCACTGTAAAAAAATTTGAGTATGTTCAAAATTAACACCCGACAAGTGCCAAATGCAAGTAAAAATTGGTTTTGGCAACTGAGTGAAACTCACAGTGGACAGTAACTTCATTAGGAACTTCAATACATAATACATAGTTTCAGTCGAATTCACAAGTACTCACCCTGGAAGAGATATTCCTCTGTGTTCATATCAGGATTGTCAGTGATGATGTCGAAGGGAGACCGGCCTGCCATCATTTCAAACATGAGCACGCCCAGAGCCCACCAGTCTACACTGAACCCTGAGAGAGACAGAGATAGCAAAAATGCCGAAAAAGTGTGAGTGTTCAATCTTTATCAGTGTGATTGACTTAACAGTTCTTAACAAATACAAAAATATATATTTTTTTTATTATTCTTTCAGTAACTTTAATGACTTAGTTTTTATTTGAATTCCTAAAATATAATTATATTAAACACTGGGCTCTGTTTAACTCCGGATTATACAGTACTGATAGCGAGTATTCATGCAGTCACACCTACCGTAATCCTCTCCCCTCAGGATCTCTGGGGCGATGTAGTTGGGCGTCCCACAGAATGTGCTGGTGGTGTCACCTGGTCTGATTCCCTCCTGTAACAATTCAAAAAATCTGTTATGAGTTCTACCCTGTGTTTACAGTATGTTTTTACTTAATCAGAGATACATCTAACACTATTTATTTTAGCAATAGGTTTTACCTTGCACATGCCATAGTCTGTAATTTTGATATGGCCATCCTGGTCCAATAGTACATTGTCCAGTTTTAAATCCCGGTAAATAATACCCTTCTCATGCAGAAAATTAAGAGCGATGCAAATTTCAGCAGCATAAAATCTGCAGGAAACAGGAAAATTGGTAAGATTCATTATCAAACATACAGATGAGGAATAATTGAGGATGAATTGATTAAATACACATTTAACACAAATACGCTACCATTCAAACATTTAGGGTCGGTAAGATTTTATAAGTTTTATGAAATAAGTCTCACCGAAGCTGTATTTATTTGATCAAAAATACAGCAAAACATTGTAATATTGTGAAAAATTATTATCATTTAAAACAGCTGTTCTATGTTAATATATTTACATTTATTTCTGTGATGGCAAATGAATTTTCAGCAGCCATTAATCCAGTCTTCAGGGTCACATGATCCTTCAGAAATCATTCTAATATGCTGATTTGGTGCTCAAAAAATATTTCCTATTATTTTCTATGTTAAAACAGTTGTGCTGGATAATGTTTAAAATGTACAATCATTTATTAGAAATATAAATTTTTTTTTTTTATTATAAATATCTTTACTGTCACTTTTGATTAATTTAACGTGTCCATGCAGAAAAAACCAACAACTTCTGAACAGGAGTTTATCTGCATTTTGACACCATGTGTCAACCAATCAAAATCAAGCATTTAACTATTGAGGTACTGTATAATAATCGGTCCTAACCATTAGCGATGTGACAAGTGTCCAGTTACAAGCAATTAGATGAAATTAGCATTGTACACTAACAAAAACAGTGAAACGGCGTAATCTAAACAGACCCAATCAGAACTTTTTAAGTTTAGTGTTCAGTTAAGAGGAGTGGAATTGTGGACCAATGAGATTTCACAGTGGGCGGGGCTACTCAGCACAATGCTGCAATCAAGGAAACCAACCAACTGTCAATATGCTGAAAAGTCAATATATATATGTGAAATCAACACAGGACATTAGATAAATATGTATATAAACAATTTTTCCAGATTTCCCCAAGCGGGAGCTGTGCTTCCAACTGTCAGCATTTGCCTGTCTAAAGTTAGAAAAAACAAAGATAAAAAGAAAGGTGTTCAAAGTAGGAAAAATGAACAGTGACATTTCCGATCAGGTTTCGCGACTGGCACTCTGCAGTGTTCGCGTCATGTCGGCACGCAGCAAGGGCTCATGAGACCTTTAGGAGCAACTCATGAATATTTTGGCTCATTAGCCGTAATTAGCATGTGTATTTGCATATGTGTGGTGTGCAGGACGCATATTGATGGAGCTGGTCGGGGTGCGCTTGACTCACCTAATTAGCCCGTGTTTGATCTCAGTTTATCAGACGTGTGAAAGGGGGCATTACAGAAGCGCTCTGATCAGTCGCTGTAACAGGATTCAGTGAGGAGGAGTCATCATCTATCAGACCGTCCTGCCTCATAGACAGAGTAATATAGCCTAACAGAAGTGTATGAGATCTGCATTCAAATAAAGGTGTGGGTTTGGTTCAAACATTATGATGGACGATTTTAAGTTAATAAAACTACCCAGATGAGTCATGTTTTTTGAAGACTGGCATCTGTGAAGGTGCCAGAGCAAATGCCATGAGCCTGGCACCATAAACGTGGCTTAATACTTGCGCTCACTAGTAGCAAGTAGCAACACTGATTTATGATTTATGTATAAATAAAAAAAAATAAAAATAAAAAAAATTTACGAAAACGTGAAACAGAATCGTACAAAACAAATTCTTTATTTATTTTTTATTTTTTACTTTTTAAAAAATAAATTTAGTTTTTTATTCAGCAAGGACACTTTAAATTGATTAAATGTGGCAGTGAAAAATGTATAATGTTACAAAAGATTTCTATTTCAAATAAATGCTGTTCTTTTGAACTTTCTATTCATCAAAGAATCCTAAACAAAATAAACCACTTTTCATAAATGTATTCAGCAGCACAACTGTTTTCAACAGTGATAATAATAAGAAATGTTTCTTGAATATCAAATCAGCATATTACAATGATTTCTGAAGATTGTGTGACACTAAAGACTGTAATGATAATGATGTAATGATGCTGAAAATTCAGCTTTGCATCACTGGACTAAATTATATTTTAAATATATTAAAATAAAAAACCAGTTAGTGCTGTCAAATCGATTAATCACGATTAATCACATCCAAAATAAAAGTTTGTGTTTACATAATATGTGTGTGTGTATATTTATAAGTACATTTACATTTAGTCATTTAGCAGAGGCTTTTATCCAAAGCGACTTACAAATGAGGACAATGAAAGCAATCAAAATCAACAAAAGAGCAATGATATGCAAGTACTATAACAAGTCTCAGTTAGCTTAAAGTAGTACACGTAGCAAGGTTTTTTTGTTTTTTTTAATTATATAATAAAAAGAAAACAGATAGAATAGAAAAAGAATAGAGCAAGCTAGTGTTAGAGGCCTTTTTGCTTTTGTTAATTGTATAATAAATAAAAAGAATAGAAATAGAATACAAAAAGAATAGAGAAGCTAGTGTTAGTTTTATTTTATTTTTAAGAAAACAAGCAGTTAGTAAATTAATAGAGTGCAAGTCTAAAAGGGGAAAGTTTTTTTTTTAGAGAATAGAATTAGAATAGAGAGTGCTTGAGTTACAGGGTCAAATAAAGATGGAAGAGATGTGTTTTTAGCCGATTCTTGAAGATGGCTAAGGACTCAGCTGCTGGGATT